GTATGAGAAAGCGATGTCTGACCTCAAGAAATACGTCATCCTCAACAAAGCGCCAGAGGAGCGGTGGTACGGTTTGCAGGTGAGGACGCATTTGCTTCCTTGTCCCGGACAGCGCGCGACAAAATGCGTCCGCTCTAGAGGCGGCAGAAGATGCGGATGTTGACGAACTTCGGAGGGTCGCGAAGGAAGCCGCTGAGAAGGCAAAGGATGAAAAGGATGGCAGTCCAAGCCGCACAAGGAGTGTGGCAAATCCAGGACGACGATGACGAAGTGGGAACGCGATCCAAGGATGAACGCGAACCAGGATGAACGCGACCCAAGGATCGCCCCAGAGACCAAGCGGAGGGCGAGATGCGCGGGCCAATTATCAGGTTGTTCGGAAAGAATGTATCCAACATCCATAGGTATTGGGGGCCTGACAGTGAGACGGAAACAAGGAGGTGGTCGATCAGTGAAGGAGGACGCCTGTCGATGAGTATTTTCGACATCACGCTTGAGCAATGGAAGACGCGCGATGGGTTTAACCTGCCGCATTCGTTTCATGACGCGACGATTGAGGAGTACGTCGGGATGAAGGGCATCACCCACCTCATGGGGTTGTTCTGTTTGGAGCTTTGCCCGATCCTATTGGTAATGTTTGGGAAAGACAAGCTTGGACAAGCCTCCAGGACCTGAAGGACGCAGCCATCAAGACGTACAAATCACCAGAGCTGCGAGCTTCAAGGAACAACGCGCTGGATCAATTGTTCGACGTGTTCCACATCGTTATCGGCATTGTTTCAATGTCGAGAAGCGCTCGTTCTTCCAATCAAGCGTGGATGGAATCAAGGTCGGGAAGCATATCCCTTTCGTCTGGTTGTGCGCCGCAATGGGCAACAAGATGACCACGCAAGATCTTCTGTTGAAGAGGCGTCATGGGATGAACTACAGCAGACTGAAACTGACCATCCAAACCCGAATCCCATTGGGTGACGGGGAGGTCACAATCCAACCCAACTATGGAGAGAAGCAGAAGAAGCAGGGATGGGTGAAGCCGAACCCCAGGCAATTCAACGGGAAATCAAGCAAGGTGCTCCGACCCTCTTTGGCGGATGGAAGAAGAGGGCGATCGGTCTGGCCAGGTCCATTAGTCCGACTGACCGAAACGCTGAGCCCTCTTCCGGGTCATCGGGCAAAAGCAAAGGGAAGGGCGACAAGGGCAAACAGAAGGGGACACTCCTCCTTGGCGGCGGGATGCGCGACGTTTGTGACCGACGTTTGTGACGCGTATTGGTCGGGATACACGATGGATGGAATGAGAACTGGTGAGCGGTTTATCTTTCTAGTTCCAACTGGTGCGGTTGTGCGGGGAAACCGGGGCCGTAAATCGGCCCGAGAGTACCATGACGCACAAAAATCCTTAGCGTATCCTATTCCTTGTTAATATATATATGTATGTATATCAATTTCAAGCAGATATTCGGACAAGCGGCAAAATGGACCATTTGAGCAAATGCTTTATTAGGCATGGGGGACCCTTGATGATATGCGATCCTTCGGGGCTGAGTGGGCGAAGAGCTGATGCGCCACTCTTTCACACTGACAGCCGGGTTAGGCGATGCCGATGCGCCTGCTCTTGGATACAGGGGCCGCCAACGGTGTTATATCATTCCAAGAGGATGATCATACGGTTACGCCCATTTATTCATTCCTATTATCAATACCCTTGCCGAGTTTTGGGCACATTTGCGGGGAAAGCGTTGCAGTGCTCCTTTTCTCCAATGGTCAAATTCCGCTAGAACTCTTGCGCTGCTGTATTTGCAGTATGTCGAGCGTCTCACGACTCGGAAATTGCAAATCAGACAACAAATTAAATATGCGGGGTTGTGAGTGAGCCGGCATGCTGCGTGGTTGCACTTCAGTGGGTTCGGGACGAAATGTCCTTCCACAATTTCAATGCTTCTGCGCTGATGTTTCAAAATGAAGCACACAGCGTGGGGGGTGCGAATATGTGGGCCACATGTGCAGTTTGGAGACAATGCACACACGCGTTGGCATTTGGCTCAAGTCTCACGAGTTGTGTCAGAATCGTTTTTGTGAGGCAAAATAAATGGAGCCCGCGGAAGGTTTGCGATCTGAAGATAATTGGAATACTGCAGGTTTTCCGGAGGACAACACAACCACTGTTGTCGGGGATACCAAAGAAACCCCCGCGATTTCTCAAGTTCTTCGGGGACTGCCACACACACACACACATTTTTTCTGCAGAGTAGCAGAAGGGTTCCCTTTGTAGAAAGGGGCCAAGGGGTCAGCGTGTGTTCGCCAGATTCGTGGCTTGCACGCGCAAAGAGGTTGCAAGCAGTCGCCAGCGATCGCAGGTGGCGAAGGTTGCCGTACCGTTGGGGGAGTCGGAATGTGCGACTTGTATGACTTGCAACATGTGGTTTTCGTTGTGCCCGTGCGCAAATCGTTTTTTGCAGGCGATGGTTTTGAGGCGTCTTGTGCAAGCGGGTGGCCGCGCAAGTGTCATTGCTGCTGGCCATGTCGCGCAATCGGTTCTTTTGGCAAGGTAAGTTGCCGCCCCATGCCAGTTCTATGGTGGCTCGAAAGCAAGCAGCAGAGCTGGTGGAGGGGCGTCATTCGTGTGAGTCATGTAGCCGCAGGCAGCAGGCGGGGCCAAGCCCGCAGCCCCAACCCCAACCGGCCCTGCCTCGCGGGCAGAAGTTGGGCGCCTTGCTTGAAGGTTGTCGGTATTTGGAGCACCGAGCAAGTTTGGCCGGGGCTAAGTTTTAAACGGATCGCTTCATTGAGGAAATTGGAGCAAAGGCTGAGCCGGATCGCGTTGAGTTTTGTGACACGCGCAGCACTTTGGATCATCTCTTTAGTTTGGAAGGGTCTTGTACTTCGTGGCAGGCGCAGCGCTGTGGAGCGCAGAGCGATGATTTCGCGGCCAGCGCGAATCTCTGTAGGGTCGCGCGTGGATATTTGCCACAGGCGCACCGCTTTGGAGCGCAACGCGCAGGAGCGTTGATATATACGAAGATGGGCAGACCGAAAGACGCGCAGATGGAAAGGTAGATAGATGGGTCAAAAGATAGTCAGACAGACAGGTAAATAGATCGGTGCAAACACATGAAGGGAAGACGGGAAGATAGAGAGAAATATTCAAAGACACATAGGTTCATAACTAAATATATTAGGTATAGGTAGACTGCTTGATAGACAGATAGATTGGTAGGTAGATAGTTAGGGAGACAAGCTGGTTGGATTAGACAGACTAGATTCGGCAGACAGGTAGGTAGATGGCCAGGCTTGACCTAGTAGATTCGAAGACGGAAATAAGACTAGGTTAGAAAGCTTTTTGGCTGAAACAGACAGATCGGTAGGTTAGACAGAGAAAGATAAGTTATATTCACAGATGAGATTGCTAGACCGAAAGAAGAGAGGGGTAGATGCGCAGACAGATAGGTAGATCGACCAGGTAGATAGATTGATGGGTAGACAGATAGACAGATGAGACAGACAGACAAAAAGATAGATAGATCTACTAGGTTAGATGACAGCAAGTAAGGATGGATGGGTAAACAGGTAGATGATTAGGTTTAGATGAGACAGATAGGTAGATAGATAGGGAGGTGAGTGGTAGGTAAGGTAGGTAAGGTAGGCAAGATAGTCAGATGGACAGATGGATAGATAGATAGATAGATAGAAAAAAAAGGTGCGTGCCTGGACGCGGATAAAATCAATAGGCCAACGAACAGGTAGCCAGTTAGGTAGGTACATGCGCAATGTTAGCTGTCCGCGATGAATTTGCATTCGGGTCATGGCTTTATCAGGTTGAGCCTCCCTTATTTGTTTGAGGCAGTGACTTAGCACTTTGCTCATGGCTCAGGTTTTTTCAGTTTCTACTTTGCCTCACGTGCAAATCCGCCCCAGATGCATTGTGCGGGCAAGTGCTAGGAGACGTGTAGATTGGGAAGCACGGGCCGAGGTTTTGCACTGCGAAAGTGTGACAGATAGCGCTGTTGTGTTTGTGTGTGCGTTTGAGGGTTTGCAGCAATGCTGGCAAACACAGTGACGCGCATTGAGTTGGCAGGATGGTCTGACAGTGGACGAATGGAACGAAATCAGAAAGGGCATGGGGCTGAAAGCCCTCAAGCAGCTGAGATGCACTATGCTAACGCTCTGAGCCCAGCCGTTGAATATGAATCCACCAAGGTGAAGAGGACAGTTGTTTCACTCCGATGGCATCCGAAGTACCCCATTCTGGCTTGTCACCCGATGGTTTGCCAGTTCTCGGGCAAGTCTAATGTTATGCATTTGTCGCGATCCAGTTTAACAGTCAACAACACGATAGCACAAGAGTTTGCCAGACAATGCGGGCTCAAAACACAGTGCGAGACACGGGGGTGCACCTTCATGCAGGGAATGACGAGACGGTTTTGTGGTCATACTTTGCTCTTGATATCCGACTGTTTCCCCGCAGACTTGAGCAGCGCCTCTTCCACGCCATTTGGGGCTTGGAGGACCGCAAGGAAGGCTTTGAGGCCAGGCGTTTGACGGGAAAAGATACAAGATACGCAGGCAGCCTCCGCCAAGGAATGTCCAAAAGCTTTGCACATGAAATGCTTTTCAGGATTTATGTGAGTTTTGATCAAATCAAGTTATTGCATATCTTCTTCTCTGCCCGTCTGTGCAAGAGCTTGACAGCTTGACAGCCTGGTAGCTTGGCTTGGCTTTCAGGCCTTCGTTGCAAAGCGCACTCCTGAGTGGAAGCACAGCTAGGCCACAACCCCGCGAAGACTGCTCGCCCTGGCTGGGAGAGCAGCTGTCAGCTGCGCGACGCAGAGAACCAATGGGAGCCCCGACGAACTGTACATACGTCTGTGACCTCCGAAGTTGGCTGCCATTTGGGGTGTCAAAAGCAGCCCGTGCTTTCCGAGCAAGCCAGCCTTTTTCGCTCATGCCTGTGTCGCAGCCGCTTCTTTTGGCACAGCCTTGGGAGGAGGCGAGGTAAGGCCATGGTTTCGATGTCGCCAGTGAATTATGCTGGGCTGGCTTTGTACTTTGTCACTCTTGGAGTTTCCATGGTGGCTTCCTACCGCGAGTCAAGCCCGGCAAAGCGCGTCGTCTCCCTGGGGCTTATTGCTATCACATGGTTCTTCATTTTACGGTTTTCACTCTTGTATCCGACAACAGAGTGGTACCAACAAGGTTTGAATTTGTTTGATGTGGCTTACGCAGATGTTATTTGGGGAGGCTCAGAGGGCAGCTGGTCGTGGACACAGATGCTGCTTTGCTGGGCCGTTGTGGCAACTGTGTGGACGCTCGAGTCTCCTTTGCACTATCAACTGTTCGGCTTGTTTGGCGCCATGTCAGGAAGCTACTGTTTGATTCGGCTGGAGAGTGAGCCCTCGCAGCACGTGCCTGCATCGTTGCTTGTTGCCACCCTCCTGGCGTTTGTATGTGTCTGGATGTTGCCCAATACTTTGACGATGCGAGAGCTCAGCTGGTGGCTTTGGGGCTTGCATGCCTGTTTGATATGGCCCAAAATGCTATCGTTTGGTTGGAAGATTGACCGAGGGGTTCTTTACATGGTCCTTGCATTCTTGAGCTTTGCCACTCACGTGACATCCTCAAGAATCTTAAGCCCTTGGCCCACCTCTGACTGCCAAATCTCTATCTCGGTGGATGTCTTGGCCAGCTCTGGTCTGACACTGGCCTTCATTGGGAGTCAGAGCCCCTTTTGGGTTCTCCCCGTTTGGACAGTGCTCCTTTACTTAGCCTCCCCTGGCTTTGTGCTGGGGGCCTTCTGCGGGCTCCAGCATATGCGGCCTTTGCGCTCCAGTCTTGTGGTGACTTTGCAGCACCAGGGAGCCCAGCTTCTGCGCTCGTGGTTCCCCGCAGAGGCTGATGCCACTCCCGCGGATGCCTCGTGGATGAACTTGGGCTATTGGCAGTCCGCTCAGAGCTACGACGAGGCCTGCTGCAACTTGGCGGAGCTGGTGGCAAGGAAGGCAGGCCTGAAGGAAGGAAAAGGCTCCAAAGGCTCAACAGAAGGAAAGCCGAAGATACTCTGCGTGGGCTGCGGGCCAGGTGCGGAATTGCACCTCTTCCAATCGCTCGGAGCTTGCGCAGAGGGCTTGGATGTCCACGGAGCGCCAGGCGTCCGAGTCGGCCGGGCCGAGAGCATGGCCTCCGGAGTGAACCGTATCCGCTGCCGGGAATACTCAAAGATTCTAGCCGTGGATTCCATGTACCACTTTGACAAGGCAAGATTCCTGAAGGAGTGTGCCAAGTTAATGCCTTCGTCTTTGACCTATACCGACATCGTTCTGAGGAATGGGGCACCTGTGTGGGTTCGTCTTATGCTCTGTGCCATGGACATAGAGTGGAAGAATCATTGGACGGAGCCGGAGTATCGTCTTTACCTGAGCGACTGGGAGGCCACCATCCAGTCCCTGGAACCTCAAGTGCTGGCAAGGAACCCGCTGCTCCCCAGATTCCTGACCAAACACTTGGACTATGTGCTGGTCCACGCCAAGCCGAAGACACTTGCACGCCCAACCTGCGCCGTCATTGGCAGTGGAATGAGCGGCCTCATCAGTGCCCATCTGTTGGAGGAAACCCATGAGGTGGTGATCTTCGAAGCGGGGCCACGTTGCGGCCTAGTTGGCTTGCAGCAAGACCTTGCGGGGGTGGCAGTGGATGTCCCTTTGAGGTTCATGATGCCACACTACTACACGCAGCTTCTGAAAGTGATCAATACTCTTGGCGTGCCTACCAAGGCAGTGCCATACAATGCCTCCTATCAGAATGGCGCCAACATGCTCTTGGTGACCTCGACAGATTGGGCAGGGCACATCCTGCAACACATACGATATGTGCCATACTTGGCTATGCTGATGTTCACCGTGTTCTTCCGGCAAGAGCTTCCGAATGAGACCTTTTTGGAATATATGCAGCGCCACCACCTTCATGAGCATGAGGCCTACAGAATCTACAGCCTGCACTTGAGCTGGATGCTGTCTTGCACATATGAGCAAGCAAACAATACACCTGCTGGTGTGGTTCTTGGGTTCATCAGGGCCAGCAACCCCTTTGTTCGCATGTATCAGTCGAGCGGCAACATTCTCCGACTTTATCCAAGCATGCGGGCTTTGCAGGAGAGGCTTTTGCAGGGCAAAAACCTGAAAGTGAACTCTCCCGTCTCCCCCTTTCATGGCAGCAGATGCATTGATGGCGTCACTTACGATGTGGTAATTGTGGCAACGGACGCGCCAGCTGCTGGGTATTTGCTTGGGGGCGAGTGGCAGGAAATGCTTTCTCAAATCCACCACCACACGGGCCGCATCGTGGTCCACAAGGATCCAGATTTGATGCCCTGCAAGAGGGAGCATTGGCGCACATTCAACATCCGAGAGGATGGTCCGAATGGCACTTGCCAAATCACGGTGTGGCTCAACAAGTTCTGGGACAGGAATGACCTGGAAGAAGATTTGTTTGAGACCTGGAACCCAGCACAAATGCCCCGGTCAGATTTAATGATCAAAGATGTGGAACTCGCAAGGGCGACTTACACTCGTTCCATGCATAAACTATGGCCCTGGATCCAGGGCAGACAGGGCAAGGATGGCTTCTATGTTGCCGGGGCCTACGCAGTGGAGGGCATGAGCTTGCTGGAACAAGCTTGCGTGTCTGCGATAATGGCAGCAAATGCCGTCCAGCATGCTTCCCATCATATCGGCGATGAGCATCCGAGCTGCTCAGGGTTTGTAGACAAGAAGCATCAATAGAATAAGTCTATAGTGATGCAAACAGGTGTGATGCATCATGCCCTTAGTTGCATGTCAGCCTGTTCCCCTTGGCCACAGAGCCTGGGTTGACACATCAAATTCAAAGTAAGACACGGGCGCGGCGCCTTGAGCAATGATTTCGGCAGCAAACAGGCCGTTGGCACTCTGTCTTGCATGAAGGATCTGTTCATGCCTTGCTGAGATGCCGAGCAGATGTCAATTGTATTTCCACAGTTGTACTCTGTTCAGGCAATGGCAAGTTGTGTCATGGAGGGGCATCGTTTGTGGCACCCCGGACAAGAATACAGCTGCCGTTCAAAACGCGGGGTGCAAAATGATTGCTTGGACACGGATAGCCGGTGCGGGTACAGTTGTAGGAAACCCTTTGACGATTGTCGTGTTGTAAAAACTGCCTAGAACCTCATAACGCTGGCAGTGACGGCCCATCCCTTTGGCGTGCGAAAGCTAGACAGTTGCTAGTGTCCAGGCGTGGGCAATCGCATTCCAAGTCTGGTTGCCAATTGGTGAGCCTTTTCTCCAAGTTTGGCCTGGCCTTTTTTTAATGCTGTGCGAGCGTCGCGCAGCAGTATCACAGCAGAGTTCTCAGTTTGACAAGATGCTAGACATAACAAAAGCCAACTTTGATGCGTCTGGGCAAACCATCAGCATCTGCGTCTTTAGGTTGAATTCTGGCAGCTGCTCCGGATGCCATGGCCTGGGTGGACAACCTGGCGGGAGTGGTGGCTGAAAGCGGCAAGCAGATCAACGAAGAGCAATCATGAGCAGAGCGAAATCAAATTCGAATTTCAGAGCTTTGAGACAAGTCAGCAATACACACTTCCACTGACTGTAGTTTGGAGGCATTCTAGTTTAGGCAGCTGAAGATAAACTTTAGAGCCTCCGGCTCAGTCCGCCGACATTGTCCTCTCCCTTTTCTCCTTCTTCCCTCTCCCTTGTCTCCCTCGTGCGTTCTGTCGTCCTCTCTCCCTCCCTCTGCTCCCCATTCTCCCCATCCCCCCAAGCCTCTCTCTCCTCAATCTCCCACTCTCTCTCTCTCTCTCTCTCGCTGTCTCTGTTTCTCTGTCTCTTTCTGTCTCCCTGTCTCCTTCCTGTCCACGCCCCTCTACAGAAAAAGGGCACCCTAATTCGAACCTCTCTACTCTCTCACTTTCTCGCTCTTTCTCTTTCTCTTTCTCTTTCTCTTTCTCTTTCTCTTTCTCTTTCTCTTTCTCTTTCTCTCTCTCTCTCTCTCTCTGTCTTTCTGTGTCTCTCTTTCTCAGTCTCCGTCTTTCTCTCTCTCGCTGTCTCTCTCTCTGTCTGTCTCTTTCTCTGTTTCTCTGATTCTGGCTCTGTCTCTCTCTCTCTCTTTCTGTCTCTCTCTCTGTCTCTCTCTCGCTCTCTCCCTCTCTCTCTCTCTCTCTCTCTCTCTCTGTCTCTCTCTCTCTGCATTGCAGCGTCACGTCCCCCCCCGAGTTGCCTCGATGTCCGGGCACTGCCCCTGCATGACCCTGAACTGTCATCTCACTACTGGCTTTCCCCCTTCATGTCCTTGTCACGTTTCCCATGCTGTCCTGGTCCCTTCCATGCCATTCAGCCCCCCCTGACATTTTCTCGGTATGTCCGCTTCGTTTGCCATGTATGTCCCGTTCTTTCGTTGCGAGTCATTTCCCTACATCTCCCGTCGTGCTTGGTTTCCTTGTGCTTTGTTTCCTCTCCTTCCCCCTGCACTCCCCTTGTTTTCATTTCTGTCCCTTGCATGTCCCTTTCAGTTCCCCTTTGTTTCCCTTTCATGTCCCGCTGCTTTCCTGTCATGTCGACTTCCTATTTCCTCCCCTCATTTCACTTGCACTTCCTTGCATTTCCCCTCTGCTCCCCAATATTTCCAGCAAAAAACACGGTTTTCCAGCGTTTTCACAATTGGGACGTCCAAAAACACAGAGTTTTTCCAGATTTTCTGCAAAAGGAGGCAGGAACCCCAAACCAGCAAAGAGCCGGCAGGGGGAATCGAGCCTGGGACCCCTGTTTTGCGACACCGGCTCCCCGAAGACTACGTTTAGTGGAACGTCATCAAATTGCCGCGCGGTCCTTGGGGCCCCCCCCCCCCACGTATCAGACGTCGGGCGGGGGGGGGTTAGGGGGGGGGTTATCCTCTATCCTCTCTTAGGTGTCCGACACGCCGAGCAATGTCGGCGGACATAAACGTCTTGGATTTGCTTGCATGCTGTCGCCTATTGCGGTTCAGCAATTACCGCTCTTCGTCAGACATAGATTGTGTTTGCAACAAACCACGTCTGCTGGAGTCCTCTCGAAGCAATCCACGCAGCTTCTCAACGACAGCACCATCACACTGAGCACCTGGCCGACTCAGGCCCCGGCAAACATGTCAAACATAGCACGTCAAACGCAACACCTCAAATGTAGCCCTGAATTAGCCGCGCCTCAGGGGAAGCTAAGCAGCTGTTCAGAAACGAGGTTGATGCCTCCCATGACGAGTGAAAGTATCAGGTGCGCACTGAAGGACTTCATATTGTGTGAGATGGGGCTTCCACCCAATGTGACCTCGAAGCAATCGCGACAGGTGGATTGGGTTGGGCTGGGGTGGACGGACTGGCTGGGCAGCAGGAGGGCAGGCAGAGGCGGCGCAAGAGAGATTTCGTCCTTGTCTTTCGATTGGCCTGCTTCGTTTTGAAGGGCCCGCAAACCGAGCTGGGGCCGTTGGTTTGCCTCCGTTTAATGACTGTGGACAGGCCCGCAAGCGCGGCGCGGGGGCCACTGACGCAATCAAGCCCGTTCCTGCTGGTGCTTCTTGTGCTCTTTTCTCCTGAGAGAGAGCCCTTCGCAGAACTGGGGTAGGAACCTTTGGTTTGCCGACTCAGTTTGATTATGTTCTGTATGCTCACGCTTGGAAGGGCGCGCTTCAGAGCAGCGCGACTTGGGTTGTCCCTGGCTGGGGATGCCTGTAGATATTCGTTTGCAAGGTCGGGAAGGGCCCCCGCAAATCAAGCCCGTTCCTGTGCCCTGTTCTTTTGCTTGCGCTCGCAGATCTGGCTCGCGCCCTGCGGGTCGCCTTGGTCTTGGTTTGTTCTAGCTCTATGAGGCACTGTGCGGCATCAGCCACGCAACGAATTTCCTGGGCAGCATGCCCCTCATTTTCTTGATGACGATGTTTCCGAAGTATGGGAAATCCTGATTTGAAACCGCATTTGTATTTCCAGATTACGATGGAACATATCAGGAACGAGAAAGGAAAGGCGCCATTGTACCCAACAGGTGGCATCATACGACGCTCTCCGACCTGATGGAACAGGATTCTACAATGACAAGGGGATGGAACTGTGTGTGAGATGCCGCAGTGGTCATTCACGACCCGTTGAAATTGAATCCATTGGGCGACCGCTATTCACCGAGCAGCAGGATTACCACCAACAAGAACCGGACTACGATCTCCCATCGTCAACACTTCACGGGCGTGTCCATCCTTCAAGATCCAACAAGCAGCGTGCGGATCACGGCGCAACGCGGCCGAAGTATGGAATGAGACGACCGGCGCCTGAATCCGTGGAACGGGAGACAAAGAGCAAGCCTTTCGACAAGAAGCCAATCACCTTCATGTTCCATGCGACCTACAACGACCAGATAGACAGCATCCTGAACAAGGAATCAAGCCCGACCCCGCGAGGGAGAATCCATGTTTGACGACGTGATCCTCGATGAGCCATCCAAGGCAGCTTTGACGCATGTGCCTGGAGGACGAGATGCCCTATTGATCCTTGGCTTCCCCAAGAACAACTGCCAAGGCATCAGGCTGACCGAGGAACGCGCTGCATTATCCGAAGATACGAAGTATTCGGCTTTTGCCACCGCAGTAACAAGCCAACCGTGGAAAAGTACAGAGCTGCGCAGCCAGCATCCCGGTATCCGATTCGACTGCCGCTTGGACTGAAACCTCTAAGGGCACCTTGACGCAAGCAAGTGATGGACAAGTTCCAAGCACGAGACTGCCACTCCTCCATGACCATCAACATCCTCACAGTGAACCGTGGGAACCTCACGAAGAATCCTAAGTTGGACGGCAGAGAATTGAAAGGCATGCCCATGAAAGACAGACCGATGACACGAATGCTGCTAGGCCCCTCGCATGTTTTGTCTGTGGCAATGAGCGCGCCAGAGTCGAACTCCTGGCAAGACACATCTCGACAAGATCCCAAAATGGGGGAACCGCATTCGGAATGTTCAGATGTTTCTGCGGCGCCGAGATCGGTTGCATAGACCCCGAATATGACACGACAACCTTCGACTGCCTGGCAACGACCGGACCTCACATGACAAAGGAGAGCCTCAAGGACTATGTCGGCTCGAGATTGCCACCGCGCGCTGCCATCCAGACATATGGGCACAATAAGGAAATTGTGGTGATCCAGATCGACCAAAGCAACGAATTCCGAGGAGCATTGCCGAAGTCAACAGAGGCTCCGAATGCGGACTACGATAGTCGACGCATCCTTGGAGCTGGACTCCCACACGCTACAGTTGGAGAACATCCGAACATCACTCGTGGAGCAGAAAGAGAGGATTTTCAGAATGGAATCATGCCGCTTGTTACGACTTACCAATGCGATGCAATCACTGGTGATGCAAACAAATCCGCCAACACTTACAGCAGATTGCAATGGGTTTATAATCCGGAGTATGGGTTGATCAACTACATCATGCAGAACTACCAAGACACAGGGAACACGGCCTCCTGCGCTATGAAGGCAATTGTTCGTCACCATCTCTATATGAAGACTGGCTCTGGATGTGATCGAACATTCCCGATGACATTTGAATTTGGACGGGGAAAGGCCGACGTCCAAAATGGTTTTCGAAAATGATAATCCGAGATTGAGCCCACGATGAGGAAAAGAAGACTATGCAGGACAATCATTTCCGATTACCAGGTGACATCAGCCAAGCGTTTCAAGCGCATCACCAACGAGATGTTCCTGAATGGCTCATGTGACGCCCATGGTCTACATCCGAAGGTGGTCTGAAAGCGAGGAACGAGACACTCAGAGAGCCAAGGGGCACAATCACGCTTGGGGAAGTTCCTCTGACGATACAACAAGGCTTACGGCTACGATCAACCTGGGTGGAAAGGGCATAGTTCTTCGACTTGGTACGACTATGACTACTACAGCCAATCTGAAACCAGCAACCATCCGTGGAGGCGATGAGATGCTTTCAGAAGCCCGAAAGAAAAAACATCTGAGATCAGGGCCACGAACGCCGACCAATTGATCCTCACCATCAACAAGACAATTCTGTGAGAGACCAATAGTTTCACACCGATCCTGCATGCACATAGCATTGCGCATCATCTTTTGACGCAATTAGGTATCCGCAACAAGCACAGAGTTTTCTTTTCCATTTGCCAACAAAGACATGTCATCCGCGCCAAACAGGGATGAATATAGTATTTTAATTCTGACAAGACATGTAGTTCCGCATATGGCTACGGCGCACATGTGAATGGCTACGGTCCAAGGCCAGCCAAGAAGCCAATAGCAACTCAGTGCTGGAGATCAAAAGAAATGTGTGTCTGTTTTGTGTTTGTCTTTCGGACCCATTGATCTCCATGCAACACCGTTTTGGCTCAAGGCTTTTCATGTCACACACCCGACGCACATAGCTCACTGAGCCCTTGCATCCGTGACACAAAGGTGCTGGCGGACCACTTTCAGAGCAAACCGCAGCACACAATCAACCAGGGCTAATCCAGTATCAATCCATCAGCATTGACACTTGGACTCTCCGGAATAGATTGGGACCTATCAAATCTACCACAGGGTATCGGTTCCCTTTGGGGATAAGATACCCCTAGCAGCGGGCCTCATCCCCCTTTTCGCAGTCGGCGGGTTTCTTGGCCCAGGTGCGTGCCACACGTTTCCAACTTGCCAGCTCAACTTGAGGCGCCCCATTTCGGCGCATCAGCGCAAACGCGTTTGGAGGATGTCAAGGCGCTGTCCGGGATGCAATCGGTTTTTCTCTGCGCTGTTGTTGGCCACGGCCCCCTCCCCCTCAAGGCATCCGCGGGCAATCAAGAGTTGCAATAGTTGCAACATGCCCACGGTTTCCAATTGCAGGCGCAAGTACGCGCGCGCGCCCTTGCACGCTTGCGTAAGAAGAATGCCCTCGCACGGGCTCCGCGTAGCAGCGTGCGGCTGCAGGTGAGGTTCTTCCGCATCACAGCAGTATGCTTAGTCGATGGATACGTGGTGAGGAATTTGTTGAAACTTTTGTGTTCAGTAGCGCGAGGTCTTGGGAGCTTCCGCGTGCGGAAAAACCAGCCTGATCAGCTCATTTGTCAATCGTTGGCCACTCAGTCCACTTGCCAGCGTGCTGGCTTCTCTCCCCCCACTGGTTGGGTTGATTAACAAAATCGGGTTGCCGCTGCTTAGAGATTGCAGGCAACTTTCCATCGCGCTATGTCCGAACTGAGAAGGCTCACAAGATGCTTGACCATGGTTAAAGTTGCTTCTACCGCGCGGCAACTTGGTCGCAGGTTCAGGTGTATCACAAGAAGAGCGAGCTTCCTGACGAGCGGCTGGCGTGTGGGGGTTGGTTTGCTCGCATCAGCTTGCTCGTGGAAAGAGAGAGAGAGAGAGAGAGAGAGAGAGAGAGAGAGAGAGAGAGAGAGAGAGAGCGAGAGAGCGAGAGAGCGAGAGAGCGAGAGAGCGAGAGAGCGAGAGAGCGAGAGAGCGAGAGAGGGGAGGGCGGGAGGGCGGGAGGACGGGAGAGGAGAGGGAGAGGGAGAGAGAGATCTTGCCAGGAGACTGAGTACCACGAGGTGCTGAGGCCCATTCTGCTTGAGGCCCTTGGCTGAACTGGGCTTCAAACACCGCGCAGTTCTTGTTTGTCGTAGAGAACGGTGAGTGAGACGCAGAATTCCGGCCTGATGCTGTTGCAGGGTGCTGTTGAAGGGTGGCGCCGCAGGCCGAGACTCAGAGTGCCCAGGGTGATGCTGCAGGCCGAGAGTTGCTCAGCGTGCTGCCAGGGTGCTGCTGCACGGTGCTGCTGCGTGCTGCTGCAGGCCTGCTGCGTGCTGCTGCAGGCCGAGACTCAGAGACGCGAAGGGTGCCGTCGCAGGCGGGCACTGTTGCAGGGAGCTGCCGCAGGCCAAGCTGCGCAGGGCGTTGCGCAGGGGGTGCTGTTGCAGTGCTGTTGCAGCGCTGTTGCAGGGTGACCGCGGCGCTGTGTTGCAGGGCGCAAAAGTTCCAGAGCTGTCCCAGCGCCGTTCCCGAACCCTTTATTTCTGGCCATCCTCTTGCGTTGATGTCTGCGTTTGAGAGGCGGCGCGTCAGGCAAGCCCGCTAACACATCAGCTCTGAAGCTCTGAGAGGCAGCGGGTTACGCACCCACAAAAACGGCGCGTTAAGCAAACCCGCCAAAACATTGGCTCTGGACAGGCGGCGCGTAAAGCAAATCCGGTCAGGGGGGTTTTGGGGAGGGCCCAAAAATAATTGGGTAAGGATTTTTTGGGGAAACCTTGTTGGTACTTTACTTTAGTATTGGTGAGAATCTGGGGGGGAAAAGGGGGAACCTTCAATCGGGGGGGGGGTTTACTAATCGTCTCCTGACATTAGGCGAGTGCCAATGTTGCAATATTCTACGTGCAGATTTTCGCAAACGGAGCACTGTGAGAATTCTTTGGCCACTATGCCCGGCGCGTGAAGCGAATCCACCAAGCATCGGCTCTGAAAGGCGGCGCGTTCGGCAACTCCGCCAAAACTCCGGCATGTAAGCGCCAACGCTGCAAAATCAGCCTATGCGCCCGAGCACTCTATTGTGAGATTTGTTTGCCGCTTTGCCGGTGGCGCGGCAAGTGTGTTGCTTGTGTTGGAACGGGCATCTGTATTGATCGGCTGACAAGATTTTTTTGCAATCTGGGGCCTATGCTGGGATAGTTTTGCGTCTGCCGTTGGCGCCTGCAGTGGGCTTTCACTGGGCTGGGCAGCTTAGACTTAGACTTGGCGAGCTGAATGGCTGCAGATCGAAGACACGCCTGGCTCGGAGCGTGGCTTCGACGACGACGATGACAACACCGGGCGCAAAGCTTAAACTTGATGAGCAGTGCTGGGATTGAAAGCGTGAGAGGCCCCTTCCTTCTGGTATTCCTTCCTCCCTTCCATCCTGCCGTCTTGCCTTCTTGCCTGCCTGCTTATCTGCCTTGCTGCCCTCCCCCTTCCTCCCTTTCCTCCGTTTATTCATTGCCGTCGCTGCTGCTGTTGCTGTTGCTGTTGCTGTGGCCTTTCATACATATTGTGGCGGGTATCATGGTTTTGTTGTTGTTTTTATTGCTGTTACTGTTGCGCCTACTGTTACGCTTGCTGCTGCTGTTGCTGTTGCTGTTCCTGTTGCTGTTGTTGTTGTGGTCGTGGTTGTGGTTGTGGTTGGTTGTTGGTTGTTGGTTGTTGGTTGTTTGGTGTTGGTTGCTGGTTGGTGTTTGGTGGTTGTTGGTTGTTGGTTGTTGGTCGGTGATTGGTGGTTAGCGGTTGGTGCTTGGTGGTTGTTTGTTGTTTGCTGTTTGCTGTTCGTTGTTTGTTGTTCATTGTTTGTTGTTCGTTGTTTGTTGTTCGGTGTTTGTTGGTTGTTGGTTGTTGGTTGTTCTTTGTTGGTTGGTTGGTTGGTTGGTTGGTTGGTTGGTTGGTTGGTTGGTTGGTTGGTTGGTTGGTTGATTGGTTGGTTGGTTGGTTGGTTGGTTGGTTGGTTGGTTGAGTTGGTTGGTTGGTTGGTTGGTTGGTTGGTTGGTTGGTTGGTTGGTTGGTTGGTTGGTTGGTTGGTTGGTTGGTTGGTTGGTTGGTTGGTTGGTTGGCTGTTTCTTTCTTTCTTTCTTTCTTTCTTTCTTTCTTTCTTTCTTTCTTTCTTTCTTTCTTTCTTTCTTTCTTTGGTTGGTTGGTTGGTTGGTTGGTTGTTGTTGTTGCTGTTCTGTTGCTGTTGCTGTGTTGCTGTTGCTGTTGCTGTTGTTGTTGGTTGGCTTCGCCCTTAGCGGCCCTGTGAATTCTATACTTTTCAAGATGCACTCGCTGAGCACTGTATCCATGCCCTGTGAGTTCTATACTTTTTGAAGATGCGCCCGCTCAGCACTGTATCCATGCCAGCCAAATCCCGTTCAAGTGTGCCCGCTCAGCACTGTATCCATGCCTGCCAAATGTTAAGCACACCCGTCCAAGTGCACCCGCTCAGCACTGTATCCATGCCTGCCAAATGGTAAGCACACCCGTTCAAGCGCACCCGCTCAGCACTGTATCCATGCCTGCTAAATGGTAAGCGCACCCGTTCAAGTGCACCCGCTCAGCACTGTATCCATGCCTGCCAAGTGGTAAGCACACCCTTTCAAGTGCACCCGCTCAGCACTGTATCCATGCCTGCCAAATGCTAAGCACACCCTTTCAAGTGCACCCGCTCAGCACTGTACCCATGCCTGCCAAATGGTAAGCGCACCCGTTCAAGTGCACTCGCTCAGCACTGTATCCATGCCTGCCAAATGGAAAGCACACCCGTTCAAGTGCACCCGCTCAGCACTGTATCCATGCCTGCCAAATGGTAGGCGCGCCCGTTCAAGCATGTCTCCCAAATGGTAAGCACACCCTTTCGGGGGAGTCGTTTACGACTGTATCCATGCCTGCCAAATGGCAAGCGCACCCGTTCACGTGCACCCGCTCAGCACTGTATCCATGCCTGCCAAATGGTAAGCGCACCCGTTCAAGTGCACCCGCTCAGCACTGTGTCCATGCCTGCCATATGGTAAGCGCACCGGTTCAAGTGCACCCGCTCAGCACTGTACCCATGCCTGCCAAATGGTAAGCACACCCATTCAAGCGCACCCGCTCAGCACTGTATCCGTGCCTGCCAAATGGTAAGCACACCCGTTCAAGTGCACCCGCTCAGCGCTGTATCCATGCCTGCCAAATGGTAAGCACACCCTGTCAAGTGCACCCGCTCAGCACTGTATCCATGCCTGGCACCTGGTAAGCACACCCGTTCAAGTGCGCCCGCTCAGCACTGAAGTGCACCCGTTCAGCACTGTATCCATGCCTGCCAAATGGCAAGCGCACCCGTTCAAGTGCACCCGCTCAGCACTATTCATGCCTGCAAAATGGTAAGCACGCCCGTGCAAGTGCACCTGCTCAGCGCTGTATCCATGCCTTTCAAATGGTAAGCACAGCCGTTCACGTGCACCCGCGCAGCACTGTATCCATGCCTGCCAAATGGTAGGCGCACCCGTTCAATTGCACCCGCTCAGCACTGTATCCATGCCTGCCAAATGGTAAGCGCACCCATTCAAGTGCACGCGCTCAGCACTGTATCCATGCCTGCCAAATGGTAAGCACACCCGTTCAAGTGCGCCCGCTCAGCACTGTATCCATGCCTGCCAAATGGTAAGCACACCCGTTCAAGTGCACCCGCTCAGCACTGTATCCATGCCTGCCAAATGGTAAGCACACCCTTTCAAGCGCACCCGCAGCACTGTATCCATGCCGGCCAAATGGTAAGCACACCCATTCAAGCGCACCCGCTCAGCACTGTATCCATGCCTGCCAAATGGTTCTGCACACCTGTTCAAGTGCACCCGCTCAGCACTGTGTCCATGCCTGCCAAATGGTAAGCACACCCGTGCAAGTGCGCCCGCTCAGCACTGTATCCATGCCTGCCAAATGGTAAGCACACCCGTTCAAGTGCACCCGCTCAGCACTGTATCCATGCTTGCCAAATGGTAAGCACACCCGTTCAAGTGCGCACAGTCAGCACTGTATCCATGCCTGCCAAATGGTGAGCGCACCCGTTAAAGTGCACCCGCTCAGCACTGTATCCATGCCTGCCAAATGGTAAGCCGCTCAGCACTGTATCCATGCCTGCCAAGCGGTGAGCGCACCCGTTCAAGCGCACCCGCTCAGCACTGTATCCACGCCTGCCAAATGGTAAGCGCACCCGTTCAAGCGTACCCGCTCAGCGCTGTATCCATGCCCGCCAAACGGTAAGCACACTCGTTCAAGCGCACCCGCTCAGCACTGTATCCATGCCTGCCAAATGGTAAGACACCCGTTCACGCGCACCCGCTCAGCACTGTATCCATGCCTGCCAAATGGTAAGCGCACCCGTTCAAGTGCGCCCGCTCAGCTGTATGCATGCCTGCCAAATGGTAAGCGCACTTGTTCAAGTGCGCCCGCTCAGCACTGTATCCATGCCTGCCAAATGGTAGGCACACCCGTTCAAGTGCACCCGCTCAGCACTGTATCCATGCCTGCCAAATGTGCCCGCTCAGCAAATGCCTGCCAAATGGTAAGCACACCCGTTCAAGTGCACCCGCTCAGCACTGTATCCATGCCTGCCAAATGGTAAGCGCACCCGTTTAAGCGCACCCGCTCAGCACTGTATCCATGCCTGCCAAATGGGAAGCACGCCCGTTCAGCGCACCCGCTCAGCACTGTATCCACCCGCTCCGCACTGTATCCATGCCTGCCAAATGCTGAGCACACCCGTTCAAGCGCGCCCGCTCAGCACCGTATCCATGCCTGCCAGGTGGTAAGCACACCCGTTCAAGTGCACCCGCTCAGCACTGCATCCATACCTGCCAAATGGTAAGCGCGCCCGTTCAAGTGCACGCGCTCAGGACTGTACCCATGCCTGCCAAATGGCAAGCACACCCGTTTAAGTGCACCCTCTCAGCACTGTATCCATGCCTGCCAAATGGTAAGCGCACCCATTCAAGTGCACCCGCTCAGCACTGCATCCATGCCTGCCCATTGGTAAGCGCACCCGTTCAAGCGCACCCGCTCAGCACTGTATCCATGCCTGCCAAATGGTAAGCGCACCGGTTCAAGTGCACCCGCTCAGCACTGTATCCATGCCTGCCACATGGTAAGCACACCCGTTCAAGTGCACCCGCTCAGCACTGGATCCATTGCTGCCAAATGGTAAGCACACCCGTTCAAGCGCACCCGCTCAGCACTGTATCCATGCCTGCAAATGAGCACTGTATCCATGCCTGCCAAATGGTAAGCACACTTGTTCAAGTGCGCCCGCTCAGCGCTGTATCCATGCCTGCCAAATGGTAAGCGCGCTCGTTCAAGCGCACCCGCTCAGCACTGTATCCATGCCTGCCAAATGGTAAGCACACCTGTTCAAGCGCACCCGCTCAGCACTGTATCCATGCCTGCCAAATGGTAAGAACACCCGTTCAAGTGCACCTGCTCAGCACTGTATCCATGCCTGCCAAATGATAAGCACACCCGTTCAAGTGCACCCGCTCAGCACTGTATCACATGCCTGCCAAATGGTAAGCACACCCGTTCAACTGCTAAATGGTAAGCGCACCCGTTAAAGTGCACTCGCTCAGCACTGTATCCATGCCTGCCAAATGGGAAGCCCACCCGTTCAAGTGCGCCCGCTCAGCACTGTATCCATGCCTGGCAAATGGTAAGCACACCCGTTCAAGTGCACCCGCTCAGCACTGTATCCATACCTGCCAAATGGTAAGCACACCCGTTCAAGCGCACCCGCTCAGCACTGTATCCATGCCTGCCAAATGGTAAGCACACCCGTTCAAGTGCACCCACTAATGGTAAGCACACCCGTTCAAGTGCACCCGCTCAGCACTGTATCCATGCCTGCCAAATGGTAAGCGCACCCTTTCAAGTGCGCCCGCTCAGCACTGTATGCCTGCCAAATGGTAAGCGCGCCCGTTTAAGTGCGCTCAGCACTCTATCCATGCCTGCCAAACGGTAAGCGCACCCGTTCAGCGCTTTGTCCATGCCTGCCAAATGGTAGTATGCATGCCTGCCAAATAGTAAGCGCCCCCGTTCAAGTGCACCCGCTCAGCGCTGACTGTCTCCATGCCTGCCAAACGGTAAGCACACCCGTTCAAGTGCACCCGCTCAGCACTGTATCCATGTCTGCCAAACGGTAGGCACACCCGTTCAAGTGCACCCGCTCAGCACTGTATCCATGCCTGCCAAATGGTAAGCGCACCCGTTCAAGCGCACCCGCTCAGCACTGTGTCCACGCCTGCCAAATGGTAAGCGCACCCGTTCAAGTGCACCCGCTCAGCGCTG